TAGAAGGACAGAACTAGAACAGCTTTGAGGTTTGGGAGTTTTTTCTAGAATCTATAGCAGGCGTTCCAGTTAAAGTGGACCAACAGCACCCTCTGCTGTTCGGTTCTGTAGCTGCACTCCCTGCTTTCTCTGCTGAGGCATTATTCTAAAAACTGGATCTTATTGTTAAAACTGCTCTAAAATGTCAAAATAATTCTGGATCATTTACAAAGGGACATTTGCAGCTAGAAGGTTCTGGGTTCGATTCCCAGCTCAGGGTCTTTCTGCATGGATTCTGCATGTTCTCCCTGAGCATGCAGGGGTTCTCTCCGGGTACTCCGGCTTCCTCCCACAGTAAAAAACACTGTTAGGTTCATTGGCTTCTCTAGATCCTCCTTGGATGTGAGTGAATGGTTGTTCAACCTGTCCACCAGGATGGACCCCTCCTCTCGTCTCCAGGCAGAGGCCCCACCATGGATGAAGATGGATGAACAGAAGCTCCAGTTTAGTCACATTTAGAAACGGGTTCAATAAAGGGAAGCTGTGTGTTTACATCTATAAACTTTCTCTCCTTTATTCTGTCCTAAAAAGAGATCAATCTGAACAAACACTTTAAAGAGACAACAGATTCTATAGAAATTGTCATCTTAGAGCAGAATATTCCAGCGCTAACCGTCTTAAGAGTGGGATCAGAATACCAGTTATTGAAGCATTTATTCAGAGCATGTTTATAAATGAGAGGTCATCGGCTGCAGCCACATTCCAGGGATGTAGATCTAGAACGGTCAGAATGCACAGTGATGGAAAGCTCTGTTTCCTCCTCTTGGAGAACATGAGGCCGAACACAGAGCAGGAATATTAGACAATACATCAAAACATGGCCGATTAAAATAAAAGCTGTGCGGCGCCATCTGTTGGACATATTAACACATTTTCATTTTTCTCACCAAGTTGTTTTAGGCTAACTTTACAGCTAAGGTCAAACTGCTCAGGGATTCTAGTTGGGGGGCCACAGAACCCAAGGGCCATTAGTTGGGGGGGCCACAGAACCTGAGGGCCATTAGTGGCCATCAGTCTGCTGCCTGCATGTGGAACTGATGAGACTTTTAATCACATATTTTTATTGATAAAAAAAAATTGAACTAAATTTTGTTAGTTTTTTATTTTACAGCCAGTTTTCTCCTCCTTCTCTCCCATCCAGCGCCGCTCTGACCAATCAGCCTCGCTCTGCTTTTCTCTACCAGGTGAAGCTCCTACCTTTTCCTCCTTTCTTCTATAGAAAGTACTCCTGGCTCAGTGTGTAGCAGCAGATGTTGTAGAAATAGAGTAAAAACCAAAGATGAACGTTTCTTATTTTCAGCATCAATGATTCGATCACTGGAAACAGAAACATAGACCAGTCCCACTGCAGGAGATCAGGAGGTTGCTGCTCCTCATGGGAAATGCTGCCTTCCTTCAAGCAATACAGCTTTTGTCCACTAGGGGGAGCCGACCAAAAGTGAAAGTTGATTAGAGCCGCTTTAAAAACAAGTTTAGCAAACAAAATCTGTAGAAGCTCTAGATTAAATATTAAGTTAACAAAATATTTAGATTTCATTGAAATATTTTGTCCCAAAATAAACGTTTCAGTCCAGTCCTTTTATTTTGCAAATATTTATTTTTCAAACTACAGATTTAGCTTTTAAATCAAATATTAAGTTTTTATGATGCATATTTTCCCAAACTAAATGATTATTTCTAAATTAAATATTAACTGTAAAGACCAAACAGTTAGTTAGCAAATGAAATGTTCTGTTTGGAGCCAAATATTGACTGAAATGCAAACAAACTTCCTGACTTTCAGAATAAAAGCCCGGTCTGTCCATCATCCAGACTGAAGCGCTGCAGTTCGCTCTTCCTCTTCCTGGTGACGTCCAATACAGGCGTCGGAAAACGTGGAAGCAGCCTAGAGCCCCGGGTTCCAGAAGCTGCAGGTCGGTCGCTACGCTGCACAGCTTCAATCAGAGGGATGAACTCCACCCGTCTCTTGATGATTGACCACAAGTTTCCAATGGGATTAAGATGAGGGGAGTTTCCAGGCCATGGACCCAACATCTCAATGTTCAGTTAGATATC